TTTATCATATAAGCCTTCACTGCTTAGAATCTACACAGCAAATTCTTTTCTTATATAAATGATGTTAAGTCACTGATGATTTCTGCTATGTAAAGATAAATGTTGTCTCTGTACGGCTTTTCTAAGAGTGGAAAGCATGCTCAGAGTACAGGATACAACATCACAGTTCTCTGTTTTATCAGTATCCATTACTTTGCTTAGTAAATATGCTTTTTAAATATGCTGAATCTGAAATACTGTTTTTCTCTTCGGTGAAATAGGATCAGGAGTGTGGCATATCAGGCTTAAAGCTTTGTACTTAGAACGAGACTTGAAGTCTTTTACTATGACATATTTTTCCTTATTTGTGACGGCTTTCTTCAATTCAGATGTAAATTATCTTGAAGTTTATTCAACTAAACCAGATCTAATTGCATATATTTCTGTGAAGTAACCCTACTTTTGTTTGTGGCACCAGTTGGGCATATTATCCCTATAACCCGTAGATATTTCAGTATGTGACAAGGGTTCACTGTATTTGTTTGTGTCATTCTGAAAATATAGTTTTTTAAACAGATCTGGTGCTTTACCAGGTGTGCCTTTAAGTAATTTCTATTGCATTTATACTTTAGGAGGATTAGGAAACAGAGTAAAAGAACTCTTTGTCCGTTAGATTCATTAAATGTATTCATGCGTGTGTAAGTGGTATAGAGGCTGTGCTACTCAGGAATCAGATCCTTGTCCTAGGGTGGAGAGAAAGGTGAAGGGTGTGATATTTACTGCTTGTGTAAGTGTCATAATAATTGTGTATTTGATTCTTTATTTTTAAATGACCTTCCTGGGCATTAAGCCATTTTTTCTTGTCTTTATCTTCTCCCTGCAGAGTTGGGAAGGTAAGGAACCACACCTTTGAAATGGTAAAAGTACAGCTGTGCAGGATGTGAGCGTGTAGTAGAGCAGATAGGTCAGCAAAGGTGAAGACAGAAATAATACAAAAATGATTCTGGAAGGAACAAGATGTTGCTACAAAGATGCATTAAAATGTTGTTTAGTAACAATTTTCACCATGTTTAAACTAGTAATAATTTTCACTATTGGGTCCTTAAAAAGGGGGAAATTTGTTGAAAAAATCAAGTGTAAGTAGCTACTACAGTCTTACAAGAGAAATACAAGAGGTAATAGTGCTGTCTTTTGGTTCTGTGCAGCCATAAATCATGCAAACTTCAAAGTGCTGCAGGAGTACTTTAAACCAACTAGCTAGTGCTTAGCTGGAATAATGACCACAGAAGTCATTTAAACAGATACCTGCTACAATAATACATTTACTGTGCACCAATCCAGCATAGGTTATGTAATGAAACTCTTTAAATGAAAGTCTTAGCTGCAAAAAAGCAAGAGGCCCTGTAAAACTGTATGTACAGTTGGAGGAAAAATACCATTTAACCAACTGAAACATATTTCAGTGAAAGTGATTGCGCAGTGGCAAGATAAAATGCCGACAGAAATAAGGGTCTGTTACCACTCACTGGTCACCTTGCTAGAAAGTCCATCCCTGAAGAGTGTGTCAAAGTTTGTGTAGAAAGTCATTTGCCCGGAGATACTGTTACCTTTGGCTCTGGGACAACCCTAAATGTGTTATTCTACAGAATCCTGTGAGCTTGCATATTTAACAATTTTGTTGTCACTGAAATCATAATCTATCAGCATCTGAACATCATGTCTTTCTTCCCTCATCCTCCACACTGTGTAAATGTGAAACAACTTAGAGTCCCTTTTGAAGGGTTATTATTTTATATTTCATTATAATGTAAATATAATACAAAGCATTCAAATTAACAAAGCCACAAAATATGTTTTTAAAATACGTTCACCTCACCAGCTGTTATCACCGTGGGATGTATGAGCAGGCTCTGAGAATGCGTGTGACTGGTAGGAAGAGAGACATTGTAGGACCTGAAAATACAGAGCACCATTAGGCTTTCGGCTGTTGATTAACAAATGCCTAACTTGGTGAATTTTGCGGCCTTAATCAAGAAAGCGTGTAGCTGAGCACCACGGGTGAGTTCAATAGGATCAAACCCGATTCAATACGTAAACACATGCGTAAATGATTTCCTGCATAACTGCCAATAATATGCAAAAAAAAAAAAATCTTTATAAAGGTGTGGGGGGTTGGGGCAATGTAACATATAACGTGCAAGGCTCTTTAGGAAAGAGCACCATGCAGTGACATCAGAGCAAAGCATCATCAGCACCAAAATGGATTCCAGAATTTGTCCTAACGCTAATGCAATGAAGTAGACAAATTTAAAGATACTTTAATACTTTGCTTTGTGCAACAACCCACACAAATTTCCTGAAGTGAATACAGTTCATTAAGACACTACACTGGGCACACCTTTGTGGGTTATAGTTCTTCCCTGGTCCTTTGATCTCTATTTTGTATCATTCTTTGGTTTCTAAGTCTGTTCAAAAATACTGTAAATTACAAAGCATCTTAGGTCTTACATTTCATACATATACATGAGAAACCATTTCTTTTGGTAGGAGGTGGATTCGCTAATAAGGCTGCTATTCTTTGTAGTAAACATCATATTTACAAACCACAAATAACAAAGTAGAAGCTGCAGAAGGGTTATGGTGTGATAATTAAGTACAATGGCGACCCATATGAACAGAAAATGCCAAGGAGCTAAAACAAAGCAACAACAGCTTTGTTTGTTGACAGATGCAGGAGCCATATTGTTAGTTAATTGGGTAATGGTGTAAACATTTGCAAACTCTGCTGTCCCTCAGTGAATTAAGCAGCACACTGAAATTATGGTGCAAAGCTGCACAATCCTTTTGCTGCAGGTACTCCACAACGCTTTTAACTACCCTTCTAAGCTTAAAGACTTCGAGGAAAGGACATCATGCATTGTTATTGAAGTACTTGAAGCTTGTGAAGCTCAGAGTTCAGACTAGGGTACGCACCTTGAACTACACTTAAGTGAACAGTAGGTTTACATATGGTTACAGTCTGGAAGTTTGTGTTCATTGCCTACATTTGCTTTTCACTTCTGTGTGTGTATGTCAAATGTAGAGAAGACTTATTTTGGTTCTCTCCTGCCTTCCTTTTATTGTAAAAAGAGATTGCAGGATTTAATATCAGAGAGGTCTAATTAGATAATAGCTTTAACTGAAAAGAGAATGAGAATTGCTTCTCTTAGGTGCCCAGTACCTCATGTGCTGTGAATTGCAGAGACCCCTGTTTACTTCCCTCCCTGTGCTGAAGTGCAATGGACTGTAGCAGAATACTAAAACATAAAAAAATGCAACAAGATACTTAATTAGCATACTTCTGTAATCACAAACTTAAATGCACTACTTTGGCTGTTTTTTACATAACAGATTTGCTTTCTAAGATAATAACCTTTCAATAATTTAAGCAGCATCTGTGCAGGAATGCATAATTGGACTGTAGATAATAGGAATCTAAAATTGAGCCTGGTGTTTTTACAAATTATTTTTCTCTTCAGCCACTTAGCAATAGCTCACCACGGTACATGAAGTATAAGAAAATATGTTCCTGCTTTGGGAATCAAAGTAATGCATCTATTATTACTATTTAATTCTGTTGCAGAGGGGTGAAACTACTTTGATTTCAGTGGACTTAGGAAGCGATAAGCTCTTTATATTTGTTTAAATATTGAGTTATCTTGAATTATCCAATAAAACAATGGAAATAGAAATATGTTTTAAATTTGCCTGGTTTAACTAGGGAGAAGAGAAAGGGATGTGGTACTGTTTTTGGTAATCGGTGACAGGTTTAGTAAGTTATACTTTTAAGAAAAAAATACATTTAGCATTTTATAATTCATAACGTTTGGTTCTCTTTACACATTTTTTGTTCCAAAAAATAATTTTAGAAATCAATGGCATAATATGATCATAGGTATAAACAAATTTAACTTCAGAAAAAATACTTATCAGTGTGGATTTGTGTTTTTTATACTCGTAGCGTGAGACTAATGATCTATTACTGACAGACAAGCTCCTGATAATTAGTGTGCTCACACAGCAAGGGAAATTAAAACAGAGTTACCAAGGAAAACAACTTTAACAATGAAAGCGAAGTATTTCAGAAAATGGTAAGATTGAAAGAAACAACGTTCAGCTTTCTACGTGAAGCACTGCAGTAATCTTCTGAAAGGTGTCACAGTGCTGACATGTAAACATGAATGTCTGAGGGACCCAAGGAAGACACTTGTCTTCATTATTTTGCATGTATAAATAATCATATTATAATATATATATATATATATATATTTTTATTTTTTTTTCATAGAAGATACTTTTCCTGTAGGCAGCAATCCAGTTTCTAAATAGGATCCTCAACACAAATTTTTCTAACTGTAAACTGGGAATTGCTCATGTACCTGAAGTGAAAGTTAGTTAACGGTGATGAACAGCTTGCAGGGTTTGGTGCTACAATCCAAATTATGAGGAATTCTACCACTAGTGGTGCCAATAGTGCCTGTGTTAGTATTTTCCAAGTTGCACAACATTTAACTCTCAGTGGAATTCTGCTCTGTGCCCGCCTGCACAACGATTGCCTGCATACCTTTACAAATCTGCCAAGGAGTCAAGACTCAAGTGAACAATGGAAATTTTAGGATACTTACCTGGGACTATGGTTTGATTTTTCATCTCAGTTTGTGATCCAATTAACCTTCCAAATGACCTTAACTTTCCAAAAACAAATATATTCACATGTTGGTTTGTGGGAGAAAAACAACTCTTCTTGGAATTAACTTGATGGATTCTGCTTAAAACACAATATGCAAAATAATATTAATAACATTAACAGAAAAATACAAAATGCAACACGTTTCTTCACCACGCTCTGGGAATTCATGCTGACAATTTCCACTATCACTGACTGGAGGGATTCAAAATTCTCTGAGTGAAAATCTGCACTGTGAAGATAAGCAGTTCATAAAAGTCTACTTACACCTGTATTTTCATTCTTATCTTTACAGGTGACCCAGCTGGATCCAAATAAATCATTACTGGAGGTAAAACTGTATCCTCAAGAAACCCTTTTCCTAGAGGCAAAAGAATAGATCAAACAAGATTGTAGGACTAATCATCCTTTGACAAGCCAGAGGCACAGCATCGAGAGGAACACATCTATCAACGCCATCTTGTACTATCATCCAACTCAACTCAATGTCACAACTTGGCCTCTCGCAAGAATCCTGAAAAAATTGAAAAAAGATAGCTACTTAAAGTTTCAAATACATGAGTATATGTTTCCAACCTCGTTTAAATGAGCAGAGGATAAAATTCTGCTATGAACACTGAACGTTATGACTATGTTGCTCACTTATCATCCAGCTTTTGTTATAATTAATGCACTGTTAAAATGTGAGTGATTGTTAAGTAGAATTTTTACTCCTCAAATGCCCCTTTTTCACCAAGAAATCTTGGACATTTCTGCCTGTACTTTTGACACTAGAATGCTGTATATTTGATATCTCGCCGAGCCAGTGCTCTCATATATATGCATTTTATTTCTGTGTTTGAATTTCTACTTTGTCACCTAATTTAAAAAGGCAGAAAAAATTAACGGGACATTCTCAGCCATGGAAATTTAACAGTATTATAGTAGAAAGCATATAATTTTTGTTAGTACTTTCTGACTTCTTTGATAAGATGTAAGGTTTTGTTTGAAGAATATAGTTTGACATATATGCAAGGTATTTATTTACTGGTTCTGCTTTGGGTCTCAGTTCTGATTCAGTTTAGGAAGTATTTTCCATTACATTGCAGTGTGTGAAACTGCTTATTGCATGATGTGAATATTTAAATAACATTAGAAATGGCCAGTACCAGAAACCTGGTATCTCGCCAACACTTCAGGAATCAGCTGATATTGAATATCAGCTGTTAAAAACCTTTCAAATACCAGATACAAAAGTTCTTTATTTCTCATTGTGAAAGAAATGGCAGTTCCCATTTTAGCGGTTTTCCTTCATTCTGGCACTTGTTTGTATCCTATTACTCTGCTGTTTTAAAGCACCTTGTTTGTTTCATCAAACAATGAGTATCTTAAAAGATGGTGTAATAAGAAATCTGCCTTATTATTGCACACTTCGGACATTTTAACAATAGATTACTGATCCCGTCTCAAATTAAAGAAATCCTAGTTCTGTTGTCTGAAATGTATGCACCAACTACCTACTATCTGATGTGGAAAAATCTGGTACTTTAAACAGCACAACCATAGAAAAGCATACTGAGGCTAAGATCTAAAGTACACTTCATGCCAAACCTGCATCAAAAGTGGTAGGGTTTTTCGTCCCCCCCCCCCCCCCCCCCTTCCTCCTCCTTTTTTTTTAAAACCTGGGCTTACAGGATAGTGCACAATAGCACTACAGAATTGTCATCTGCTAATCAAACTTCCTTTGTAGCGCCTGGCGTATTGTTTTCCACATGTTTATATGTTGTAATTCACAGTGCTTATCGTAACAAAATGAGTTCTGATTTGAAAGTTTTCTACTAAGCAAGAAGCAACTGCACACATCTTTTAGTCTTTATTTTTTTCTTTGGAAGGATGGTGATATAAAATTCAATGTATGCCTATTATTAGGGTGTTAGTGAAGCTGATATATTGTTACCTTTACCAAAAATGCAAATTTCTGAGCAGGGGAAAGCCTTATTCTACCTTTTGTAATTCTGTAATTAGTGAGTGCTACATCAGACACTTTTAGAAGTGAAGTATCTATGACAAACAAAAGGCTTGGAAGTGTAAGCAAATCCTAATCATTTGCAGCTCACAAATAAAAGAATTCATAGCCAATAGAACGATAAATGTATGCGTAATGGAAACCTGAATGCAGGTGCTTCGTTCTCAACTCTTGTTTTCTTATTAAAAAGATCTACTATGTTTATTAAATACGAAATTAACATAGGTTGCATATTGGGGTGACTCTGTTTCTGCAAACAATCACAGTAACACATACAGCAGGATTTGAAAGTGACGCATATCTTTTTTTTTCAGATGAGCTCTTCCTTCTAAGCTGGCTGTAGAGGAAAGGAATTGCTGTAACTGCTACACAAGCAAAGCAACCTTTCAGTGAACTTGTTACATTAACTTGTTCTGTTTAACTTTTGTTTGATCTCATCAGGCTGTTTTCTCTCGCTCAACTTTATTTCTGTATTTTGACTATATATTCTTTACTTTGATACTAGTTTCATAAAGTTATTAAATGTGGCTTGAATATTTGTTGACCTTGTTGAAGTCAGTGCTCCCAGGGTTTGTTTGGCCTTTCTGTTCTAAATTCTGATTTAGGGCTCTTTTCCCCCATTTTGTTCATATTGCAAAATATCCTGTCATTATCACAATGTTCTGGTGAGAATTAAGTGGAAGTGTTCGAAGGGGTGGCATTACTGCCCCCGATACAAAGATACCAAGATCTCTATATAAGGATCATTCTGCCACAACAAGTGTATCACTCAATTTAAATAAAGCTTTTATGGTTTTGGTCCTTAAATACTTTGGGCCTGATTTCAAGAAGCAACCATCTAGTCACCATTCCAAATTACACCTGCAGTGCAAACCAGTCCCTGTGTGGAAACGTTAATGTTCTGTGCCATCGTTTTCTGCTCTCCTAAACCATGGTATTCACTTCGTGTGCTCTGCTGACATGGTTAATCCTCTCATCATTTTACGGGCTAATTTTGTAATTATTATTACCCCAAAACTGCAACACTTGCTACAGAGCATATGCCTGATTCTGCCTTTTTTCTTTTTTTTTTTTTTTTCTTTTTTTTTTTATCTCCAGGTTCTTCACATTAGTGGATTATCATTAATGTGGTTAATGCATTAGTTTTAAGTCTTAGGAATTACTGTTAATGAACGGAAGGAATCCTGTATGATGTGTTGGCTTTCGGTATTGGCCTTCAGAGCATGGTGGTGAAGGTGGGGCTCTCTGGCTTCGGAAGAAACATCCTGCCTGTAGACATTGCTGTTCTAAGTCTTCATTGGAGAATGCGCAGAGCACTGGCGTTTGCTCTGTGTTCTCTGCATACGCGCTCTTAAATTTAGTGAGGGGGGTTTCTAATGGAGCTGTGTTGGGGGTTTGTTTATTCTTTTTAATGTAGCAGAAAAAGACTTTGGCTTTCATGAACTGTACGTACTCGGTGACGTTAGAAATTTAAAATAAATTTTCAATTACAGTAATATTTCTACTAAAAAGTGATATGATTTCACTCTTCCATATGTGGGGAAAAAACAAATCACCGTGACCCAGGTTCCCAGAAGGACTGAAGCACTTTGTTATTGAAGCCTCATGGCCAGACTCCCTAAACAATTCACAGGAAGATTTAGGTGCCTTAGAGTGGGATCCACAACAAACAACAATTAAATAGGTTTCCAAACAAATCAGAGCAGCCCCCCCACAGAATACACGTGATGAGTCCCTGCCAGGCAGAACCAGGAGCTGGTTGCGCTGGCTGATAGGAAGGCTCAGGATGGAGATGGTTTGTGGGCACCGTTCCCCACTGGAGCTGAGGCTTTGGGCTCTGTGCTAGCCCAGGGGGCCTTCCACCACTCGGTCTCCACAACCTGGAGGTCTTGTGTCAAGGTAAGCACCGCGTCCTTTCTTCCAGCATCTGACGAGGCACATGATACCTCTTTAATACATCTTTATTTCAAATCAGTGGTGGTCATCTTTGCCTGGGTCTCCCCTGGGGTTTTTAACTGAGCTGTACTTCACATGGAAGGTTTCCCACATTGTGACTGGCACGGGCCTGAGGAGAAGAAATTCCGAGTCGCCAACATTTCAGAAGACTTCTGCAAGACCACTGTAGCACAGGCTGCTTTAAGCATGTGCTCACTCCCTGCCATCAGCGCTGTTTGACTGCCAAAGGATGGAATTATTTAAGCTTGTTCAGAGGGAACGTGCGAGCAAGGGCATGAATTCTCAGACAAGTGGCAGGGCACTTGCCTGGGATGAGCTCTCCTGTCCCTTTCCAGGGACTGTTCATTGCAGTCACTGGAACAGTGAATAGTCACTTCACGTTCACTCCCTCAACACCACCCATGGCTTTGAAGACCTCTGTCATAGCCTCGTAGTTGTCTCCTCTCCAAATATGAGGAGCTCCGGGTATCTTCTTTAAATTAGTCCATTTTGTATATTTGAATGGTTTTGTTGCCTTCCCTTTTGCCCTTTCCATTTCTAATATGCCCAATGTCATGTGAACAGACTTCATGCCATCTTCCAGGAGAGAGAGGACTCATCAGGTTCCTCTGTCCTCGTGACATCTTTTTCCTCTCAATTTCTTCTCCAGTAATTCCTTATTCTATTTGCCCTTGATTACTACTGAGCCTCCTCACTGGAATAGCCGTGACAACTGCAAGATCTCTTCCTTAGGTGGTAACAGCTGGTTTAGGAGAGAGGCCCACCTGTAGTATCAAGGTTAGTTAGACTGGGTCCCAAACACACAGCATTTAAGCAAGTATGCTACATGATTACTATACCTCAAAATATTATTAGGATTCCTTGTTATTACCTTTAAAATTAACATTCACTTTTGAATTTCAAGCAAATCAGACAAGTTGTATAAAGGTTTTGCCACCTGAAGTTTCGGTGCGTTTTGTGAAGGTAGGCAGCCCAGCTGCTGAGAAGTAGGAAGCTGGGAAGAAGATGCTGAGTGTCTCCCATGAGGGCAAGGCTCACTGGATCTAACACTTAGCAGTCACTGAAGACTTGAGAGAGCAGCCTGAGTGTCCTGCCTGCAGGAAAAAGTTTCTATGGCATCTGATGCCTCATTAGATACCAGAGAACTCACACCTTAGCCAGGGTTTTTCTCTGTGTATTCTTTTATGTGTAATGTAAAGATAGAAGTCACACTGCAACTTTAATATAATTCAATTAAAATGTCATTCAACTGCTGGTTATAAGAGTAGGCTTCATTAGTTCCTGTGCTTGCAAAAACTGCTGGTTAAGGCAATCATTATTTTGTACTTACTACCAATGAGTTTGATTTACTGATTTTCCAACTTTGTGTTGTGACAGCCTTCCACAGTTCATTGCTGTTCACTTCTGATCCAGCCATCTGAGTGAGGAACCCTCATCAACAGCAGCACCTCACTGCTGGGAACATTTCCCAGTTATTGGACGAACACCCCGAACAGCACAGGTTCCCACAGAGACCCACGGGAATGCTGCTGATAACCTTTCTCGCTATGAACTCTTGGTTACTGCTTCCAGCTACCCATCTCTGAGTAACGCTCCCTTTTCTCACAAGAAAAGATGTTTCCACTGCAGTAAACATTGCTGCAAATGACTGGCTTAGCTCACCTGCAATTGCCCTACTTTCGTTAAGTACTCCTTTTACACCCTGAAAATATGTGAGTCCAATTATCTTTCTGGCAGGCTTCCTGTTTCTCATAATTTTAATTATCTTTTGCACCTTTGGCAATTGTTCCTCAAGGTGTGCAGATTGTTTAGTTTTGCTTCTACATCTTCCAAAAGTTGACGGTCATGTTCTGTTCTCCTCATATGAGTCTATCTTTCAGTGCATCCTTCAATGTGCTGGCTGATGTGGCTCAGGTACTTCTGGTGGGCCTTCCGGAGGCTTTTTAAAATAAGATATATGTGTATGCTGAGGATCTAAGCCAGTATCTTCAAACAGGTTTGAAGACAAGCTTATTCTTTCAACTGTGGTTTAATTTCCCTTTGGTATCTTCCTCTTCACACAGTTTTATTTTCTACTGACAAATTAAATGTGGTGATTTTTTAAAGTAAAATACTGTATGTTTTTCATTTACCATAAAATGTGTTTGCTATCATTTTTTTCTGCCTCTGTGATTTATTTAAGCTATCGTCACAGTCTCTGAGCATGACTAACATTCATAGGCATTTTATAACTTGTAACTACAACATCCTATTCATGATCTTGCCTTTCCAAAATTTACTGAGACTGCAAATGTATTGCTGTTTGAAGGCTCCCACTCTGTTTAAGCCATCTTAAAACTTTTAAAATTATTCTGATGTGTACATAGAAACACTTTGCATTTTGTCAGGTCTGTTTGCCCTTTTCATACACCCTGATTAATTAGGACTTCCGCTTGTGTAAGGAAAAGCAAGCATTTCCAAAAAGAGGTGGTAACTGAGAAGGGATTTTAGCACCACAATTACAAATTCACATCTATGGAAGAAGTTAAGTAAATTGTTTAGTGGATCTAGTTCCAAAAAAAAATTTTTTTGAGTTTGAATGTTTTGTTTGTTTACTTGTTTTATTTTATCAGGTTTTTTTCCCTTTGTTTTATTTTAGAACTTAATTATAATCTGAGGGTTGCAGAGAGCATTAGTTCCTGAAAAATACTTATAGATTTTTGTGGTTTAAACTAAAGCGAATACTGAGGCAGTGTGTGGCTGTTGCAGTATCCTATAACATAGTGGGGGAAAAATGAACAGAGGTTTTCAAGATTCCGGTTCCTTGTAAAGTTTGTTCAATCCATTTTGACTTTTAGTTTACCGATGTTCACTAGTCACCTGTAAAAAGATTTTATGCATACGAACTGACAACATTAAAATACTCTCAACTGGAAAGTCTTAGTAGATACGAGGCATTCCTTTCATTGTAAGAGCAATTTCAAGGAAAACGTGCAGTTTACTCTTTTAACAGTTCTACTTTGGCAGGCACAAAATTCCTTTCTCATTCCTTGTATTTTAGATGTTTTCAAGTGTATTTTTCCCTTCAGCTAAACTTATTATCATATTTGCCTTCTTTTCATCCAGTAATCACTATGCAGAAGCAATATTTCTTATCAAGCAAAAAGCACCAGATTCAGTAGAATATACATTATATTAACCTGTTGAGAATTCCTAATTTTGCTTCAAAAGCACCTTTCTGGTTTTATTAACATTTATCTAGCTCCCATTGTAGTCTACTTCTGGTATCAAACCAATTCCTTCTGCACAATTACCACAACTTTTCAAAATTAATCAAAATCCAATAATGCTGTGTTTTATTGAAACAAAAAAGCTACTGGTAAGATAAATACCTGTTAAGCAAAGGGAAGTTATGTTACCACCAATGGATTCCATAATCCAGTGGCCATTTGATGCCTTTCTCACTGAGAACATACCAAAAAAATAGATCAGGAGCTTCTCAGCTGCTCTAGAAATGACATGGCAGTGCTGAGTGCCCTGCACTCACGTCATGCTCTCTGTGCTGGAAGAGGTGATAGTACTAGGAGTTGCCTTTACACCATCCTGTAGTAAACTAATTTCCCATAAGCAGCCCCCTCTCCTTGGGAGACCAATTAAAATAACTTTATGGCAGCCATGCACTACTGGGCTGGTGAGAACGGGCTGGTCTCAGCAGGGTAAGAATCAAGCTCATAAATGAAGAGCAGCCGAAGCAGAGTTGTACGGGAGAAGCACAATGGAAATTATACTGCCAAAAAAGCTGCTAAAGAATAAAGTGTTGTTACAGAAATATTGTTTGATCTTTCCCTTTAAAGTCTTCTGATGGGTTTCTTCTTTCACTGGTTAAAAATGGTTAAAAACATAAAATAAATATATTCTATAATTACTTGCTTACAAGAATCTTATCATGAGGAATTTAACTTCCGAGAGAAACTGGAATTGGTTGCCCTCAAAGAGTATGTGGATTTAAAAAAATATCTTTCAGTTACCATAATCGCAGATATTTTTAATTACAGCCAATTCACTTATTTCAGAAAACTGGGTTTTCAGGATATTTATATGCCACTAAGAAAAGGGACTAATAATTATTATCAAAGTTGGTAGGATTCGTACGATTTTAAGCACAGAATAAGCTTGAAGACTTTACACCCTCTATGACATATTGCATCACTGCTTAAGCACTCTCAACTAAAGAGGGAATAAACGATTTTACATAGGAGAAATCGTTATTAATAACGAAAAAGAGGTCCGGTTCTTACAAAACAGACCTGGAATGGCATGAGATGGCTAAATTTAAGGATAGACCTACTGTAATGTTATTCTCAACGAGAACAATAAATTCTTAGCATGTTTCCTGAGGGGAATAACATCGTTACTGCAGCACTGGTCCCACAGACCCCAAAAGCAAGCTCCCCGCCTGTGGATGGGGACTTCTCGGCGGGCAGTGTGCTGACAGAAAGCTCCAGAGCCAGGAGAAATAAACTTAACACTTCTTCAACCTAAGGAAAATAACGAAAAAAAG